CACACACACACACACACACACACACACACACACACACACAAACACACACACAGATGGAGTTACATTATTTTTGTGGTGAGTCCTGCTGTTGGGTATAATCCTTACAGCTGAGTCCTGTGCGTGTTACTGAAGAACACTTGGCTCTCTCTCCTGTTATTATTCTCAATCGGCACAAACTTTTATTTTTTTTACTGCCAATTTACCAAAATAAATGTAATTCAGACAATTTGTCAAAACAACATCCCCACGGTCTCGTCCACTCTTTTGTGTGCCAACGTTCATGTCTGCAATATCGGATCCGTCCATATGGAAACTGTTAGAAACGTAAAGGAATTAAAATTGGCCTTCCAAACAATAACGCATGTCTCATGTCCTCTTTAGTTTCTTTCAGTTTTGCACATAGGAGGATGGAGTTCATATTCCTGAGTGGATCAGTAAACCTGTGAGGTCCGACCACAAGGTCCGTCATTGAGCCCCCTCACCCCACAGCAGCTTTAAAACAAAACCCAGCTGCCTCTTTTACTACGAGTGAAGAATAGTGACATACTTTTAAATTTAAAAAAAACAAGAAATAATGGAGCTGGGAGGCCGTTCGTGGAAAAATATCAGACGACATTTCTCTCTTTATTTTTCATTTTGAGTTTATCGCCGTCGCTCCCTCTCAAAAGGAGGTTAGCCAAATGTGCCTCTCCTATCCCATCATGCATGCTGTTTTCCCCCCACAATGCCCTGGGGCACTGTTCATCTGTCAGTGAATATGGTATCACTCAAATGTGACCTTATAAGGTTGGAGTCGTATCCATCTCCAGCTGAGACACACTAACACAGTCTTGTTCTCTCACCGGGATCAAAAATGGATTTAATATAAGAACACACAGAGCGTGTACATGTGTATTAATACATTATATAAACACACACTTCTTTCATTTTTACATATTTTCTGATTAAATGCTATTTTAACTGGATAAAATCAGTCAAGGTGAATGAAAACATGCACAAGAAAACTGAGAAACAAAGAGTTGAAGTGAAATAAATATCTTTCACATACCGCACATCATACATACACACTGACCTGGAGTCTATAATCGTCTTGAGGATGTAAATTTGTGTGTGTGTGTGTGTGTGTACGCCAGCATTTGCGATTGTGAACCTTTTGCTACATTACAGCACGGCTCAGATCTAGATCACGTCACAGCAGCTCTGGGACCAGGACGACGCCAGAACAGCACGGGCGTGCACAAGAACTCATGGGAGGAAAGAGTGTGCGTGCAAGTGTGTGTGTGTGTGTGTGTGTGTGTGTGTGTGTGTGTGTTTGAGATCTGAAAACCGAGTGGGCAGCGTCACGTGGAAAAAGGAATTACCTAACTTCACCGCTGTGCCTCGGAGCACGCAGGGACGGGCCAGTCTCCCACCAAAGATGTGAGCAGATAAACAGATCTTTTGTTCCTCAGCTGTGACGGCAGCACACAACACACACACATACACACTGTGGTCTGGTAGTAAATATGTCAGTACCTGGACATCTATACAGCTTCCTTGCCTGTGCAATGTCTCCTTTACTGAGCCGGGTCCGCTGGCCGATGGCAGGCCGAACGCCGTTTTCATCTCTGGATGGGAGGATGGTGTCGAGGAACATCCCCCTGCAGGGAGGAAAGGAGATTTAATAAAGGACTCCTAATTAAATATGACATTACAACACTTTATTTAATTCTCACGACGATATCATTTGATACGTTCTAAGATCAAACTGTAATTCGGGAAAAACAGGGATCTACATGCAGAGTTTTTTTTCAGAGGAGGAATGGCTCAGATTAAAAAGCATCCTCACACAGAAAGCACGTAAAGTGAACCCATGACTCCTCTCGCTGCCAAATCAAAGCTGGCTGATTTTAGACGGTGGAGATGTCTAAAGATTGGGAAGGAACTTCACAATGCTGGAAACTTTCCATCAGTTTTAGCGCAACGTCATATATCAGGAAAAGTCCACGTGAGTCTGATTAGAACTCAGATACACTAACTTGTTTCTAACCTGAGAGAGGACGCAGGATTAATGTGGCTGTTTGAAAAGAAACTTTAGTTGACTTTCCTCAAATTTTTTTACCTTTTTGTGAACTTTTATAAATGAATGTTATGCGGTTGTTTAGATTTGGATTTCACTGGTCACAAGAGAAAGTCACATGCAGAGTTCAAGACGTTTGTTTTAATGTAATAACAAGTTTGCTGTGTAAGACATTAGCTAAGCATATGTACTGTTTTCTCTATTAAATTTGTTGTTCATACACCGTTTAATTTCCATCCATCCATTATCACTTATCCCTCGAGGGTCACAGGGGGGAGGGGACCACTTATGAAACCTTAAATTCACTAGAGCCAGATTTTTATTTGGATCTGCACCAAATTACAAACATAATCATAAATATCAATCCCGACATGGCTGATTTCTAATCAAAATGTATATCACAATGTTAAAGAAGTTTGCACCAACATTTACTGGGATCTTTCCTGACCCATGTCACATCCTTCCACTGAGTAGTTTTTCATTAATATTTCTAACCAACAAACAAACGGACAAGTGTAAAAACAACAACCACCTTCACTACATGCTCTTCGGCAAGAATACCTACTCTGTTTTTATTATTTTTCCATTTAACAGAGCTCACAATGCAGCCAGGACAAGACAGAGCTCTTAATACATCAATCTTTAATATCTACTTCAAATGGGAGATAAAAGTTGGTCAGGCTGAGTTCCACAACGATCAACATTTCACAAAACACAGAGCAGCATGTTGAGAAATCTCAGAGCACGAGTCTGATCAGTTCTGCGAACAGACGACACGTTGCAGCTGGTTACCGTGAGAAGGTGTTCCGAGCGTAGTGCATGATGCTATCAAAATCATATGGCTCCCCGAGGGAGTTCACCTCCCCTGGCTCCATCTTGAGGAAGTTATACTCTTGGCCTGGGAACACACACACACACAGACACACATGTGCGCACACACACATTTAGTGTGATACTATAAAAACACATATATTCTTGGACTGTGAATAGATAAGACATTTAAAGGACACGTATTAAACTACTTGAAGTTGCATTTGAGAGCATAAGAGAAGTTTCTAAATAAAGATGTGACACGCTGTGATGTCATTTGATTTAACACCTGTCAGGCGGCGAGTGCGCGCTGTAGAGTGACAGTCTGGAGGTGAAGGTGACTTCACAGTCATTAAAAGCCTCATTCACACTCAACACAAAGCCAGACTCGAGTGTGAATGTGTAAAACACACACGTCCGTTGGTGTCCTTACTTGTCTCCAGACGGAGACAAAAACCGAATGATTCAAGCTGCATCCTGGGTAACGAGTCTCTTCTCACCTGGTTGGATGTTGTCCCGGATGATGGTCACGTGATCGTCGCGGTCGGGCCGCGTGTGCTCGTGCCAGAAGCCGATGACGTGGCCCAGTTCGTGCACCACGATGCCAAACTTGTCACAGTTCTTGCCTATGGAGATAGCCTGGGGCCCGTTGCCACGACGACCCACATAGGAACAACACCTAATAAGGATTAGTAGGAAGTTGATAGCAGGGAGATAGGCGGATGACATTTACTACACATTTAGCAGTGAAAGAAAAAGCCTCAGCAGTGTTGTATTCAACTTACACTCAAACACACACTTACACACACACACACACACACACACACACA